GGATGCGTTTGATTGACACATGACATATAAGTCATGATATTAGACAGAAAATTTGAGAAATTATTAACTTCAAATCTGTGTCTATGTGCCTTTAAACAAGGCGTTATTACACCTTTTAACAAGGCATAATAACGCAAAGTGAAAGGCGCAATAACGCAAGAAAAACGTAATAATGCAAAAAAGGCGTTATTACGCCTTTACAAAAGGCGTTATAATGCAAAGTAAAAAAGCGTGCTAACATGAAGAAGTGTAAAGGCATTAATACGCCTTTCCATTTTACGTTATTACGTCTTTCAAAAAGGCATTATAACTACGCCTTTTCAAAATGTATTCTAACGTGAAATGGAAAGGCGTTATCATAATAAACACGAACCCCCGGAAATTCCAGAGGTGGGATCAGGTGCCTAGGAGGAGCGTACAAGCATCCCCTGTTGACCGGTCACACCCGTTGTGAGCACTACATGTATGTATTAATCAGGTAGACAGAACATTCCTTAGTCAAAGAAGATGGGCGAACAAGGCGAGCACAATGCCTATAGTGCCACAAACATGAAGGTGAAAAATTAAATCTCATTTTTAACAAAGTTTTCTTTGATATTTCATCTAAGATTAAAGTATACTTCATGTAAAATCTCCACAATTTGCAAAAATCTCACAAAGATTGAAATTATTTGCCTATGAAATCGCATACAAACACTAAAGAGGCCAAAAAGGATCATTTTCTCATATTATAACACGGTATGAGTGGGTCTTCGCTCTAAATTTTTGAAAGTTTATCCTCAAAGTTTGTTTAAAAATATACATTTTTTGGTTAACATAAACATGGAGCAAAGACCCAATATACCTTAAAAATACACTTCTATGTCACAACATTTGCATGTTTTCGAGAAATACTTGAAGTCCATTTAGTCAAGGGTCATATCACAAACAGTTTTGTTTTGTTTATCATAATTTCATAAATTTCAATAATGAAAACTCTACCCTAAAAGCTAATTTCACAAATTGATTATGATTTTTATATATTTGAAGCTGAAGGCATTCTGCTGTCCTTGTTCACCCATCTCCTTTTGAATAAAAACGAAGGCCTAACAATATGAAATAAGCCAGCCAAAATACGACAGAATGATTATATTTGTTGACAAGGTCATAATAACGATCATAAAAAATACGAAATGCTGACTTAAACGAGGTTGTTGAAATTCCTGTAACATCAACTTATCTGTCAGTAGCCTGCCTCGGTTTAAAAAATGATCGTACTCGAAGCATGCTCTTGAATATCGAATAAGTTGTGAGGCGTAAGAATATTACTAGTACATAAATAAGGAAAGTGGGCGATGGAAAAGCTGAAGTCATACAATTTAGTTGTTAGTTGGCCCTTGTCGTCTGTAGTCAGTAAAACATCCAAATATGAATCATATGTGGCAGACATTGTGGTGACTTTTATTTAAAGCTCACTGGGATATATCGAGTCGACACATGAATGGAAGTAACTATTGTTAAATGATAAAACATTGTCGATGTATTTGAACGTCTGAGTTGAAGGCCCAATAAGTGTTTCCTTCTTCTTATGCAGGAGTTTTTGAATACATTCTGCTTCTAGGAGTATAAAAGCAGGTCGGCTAATAAATTAGCACAATTACTGCCCATTGAAATTCCAACAGTTTGTTGGAAGACCTCGTCTCTGAAGACTACATAAATGTTGTCGATGGGGAACTCCAGCATCCGTTTAATATCACCTTCAGAGTACTTTTGTGTAGAATCAGAGTTGTTTTAACAAAGAATTTTGTTTCTGACCAATCACAAGATACGAAAAATTCCGAGTTCCATTTTCATTGAAAAAGCGATTGTTTATGATATCAAAAAGACTAGTTTTTAATCTATTGTGAGGAATGGTTGTAAAAAGTGCAGAAAAGTCGTACGTTTGAATGTTATTGACTTAAGAAAAAATTGTTGATTTTAAATTTTGTAAAAGTTCTTTGTAGTTTTTGAGAATCCATATCTGATTTACAACACTTCTAGAATAAGCTGTATAGTACAGTATGTCTGAAGTTTTTCCTTAACAGCATTTCATATCTTTGTAAGGAATAAAGATAGGGGCTTGGTAGAACATTTGCTTACCTGGCAATGTATCTTTGTTTGTAAGGATTTTATTTATGAATTTTAGGAATCCAGTATAGGTAGGGTCTAAATCCTTTAGTTGACTGGAATGTTGAAAGTATTAAACACTGCAATGTGATTTGAAGAATTTCATCCTTAGAAAGTGAACTGTGAGTATAAGTTGGATTTTCAGACAATCTGATTAAAATCAGATCTTTGGTAGGCTCCGAAATTCTGACACTTTGTACAGCGACTGTTAGGATTTCGGGGCTTAGCAAAGATTGATTGATTGATTGTATATTGTTTTACGTCCCGCTCGAGAATTTTTCGCCCATATAGAGACGTCACCATATTCCGGTGAAGGAATTCAAATTTTAACCTTTACTCGGCACTCAGGGCCATTGGGCAGTGAGGGATCTTTATCCTGCCAACGCCTGCGTGACACGGGGCCTTGATTCTTAAGGTCTCATCCAAAGGACCTGCGTAACAAAGAACTGATTTTATTCAGACTGAATTTCCAGACGCAGAGTTAAAACCGAGTTCTTCTAAAAATGAACCTTACAAACAAAGACGATATTGTTACAAGCCTTGTCTGCTGAACTTTTACATATTGTTCATGTAGTCTTTGTAATTGTCCTAATTGAGTCTTTTAGCTGTGTTTATAAGTGCGAATATATTCTACATGATACCGGGATACAGATAGTATTTTTGTGTTGTCTCAATTAAAGCTGGAGTTTAGAAACCGACCAAAGCTAAGGTTAAATGTTCTGCAAGGAAAATAGGATAGGTTCTTAAAATATCATAATGTTTCTTGGGAGTAAAAAGACTTCGGATTTTTTCTCTTAATAACATGTCAATTTTCAATGTAAATGATAGTTTGTGAACGTCAAAATCACTGGAGAGAGGGTTGCGCCACGATTCGGGTTTAAAAATGTTATTTGAATTTTAAGACTTCTTACAAATATGCAACGATAAGTTTATATAATCTGTGTACTTCGTATAAAACGACAATATTACGGAAGCCGGTTGGTGCCAGGTAGAAAAAATATTTTATCTGGCGGCCGCCAGATAACTTTCTGGCGGCCGCCAAATAATTATCTGGCGGCCGCCACATAAATAACTGGCGGCCGCCAGAAACTTATCTGGCGGCCGCCAGATAAAAAGATCTGGCGGCCGCCAGATAACTTATCTGGTGGCCGCCATAAAGTTATTTGGCGGCCGCCAGAAATTATCTGGCGGCCGCCAGAAATTATGTGGCGGCCGCCAGATAACTTTCTGGCGGCCGCCAGATAAGTTATCTGACGGCCGCCAGAAAGTTATCTGGCGGCCGCCAGATAATTTCTGGCGGCCGCCAAATAACTTTCTGGCGGCCGCCAGAAAATTATATGGCGGCCGCCAGATAAGTTTCTGGCGGCCGCCAGATAAAATATTTTTCTACCTGGCACCTACCGGCTTCCGTACAATATACTATAGAATTAAGTTGTTGAAACATTTGGCTTTTACTATGTACACAAGGAATTCAAGTTCTTCATATAAATTCATTCGCTGGACCTAAGAGATTGCGGCCCAGATCCCTCTGGTTTCAATGTCTGTTGTCTCCGTGTTCACTTGTCACAACAGCGTCAAAGGGAATAAGTCTACTGAAGGGTAGGAGTAAAAAAAAATTAAACATACAATATTCCTCATTCTTGAATAGCGTTGGACTTTTGTATTAGATAGCTAGATATGAAGTTATTTTAAGAAGGATTTTAAACTAAGTCTCTTCCTCAGCTCTGTTTTCCTCTTCCGATTTATATTCATTCATAAGTAATATTTACAATCATCAACTCACCAGCTTCAGTAAATGCATCTTGAATATTTGATAATTTGCATGCTTACTGGAATTATCTATGCCACTTTGTTACAGCAGTAAAAATGTATTTAAAACTTCAATTACTATATTGCTTTCTTTCTTTTTCTACAAAGTTCAGGTACACAAGTACTATCAGTGGAACGAGTATTTTTTTTTAAGAAAGATGAAACAATAACAAGAAAATAAGGAAATTCTTTAATGGCCTAGTTACATTATGTATGACGTCCCAATTCATATGGCGGAGGTTGTTGCTGATGACGGATTTATCGAATTTAAAAAAACCACAGTATCATACCTACATGTTGCAAAGGCGGATCCAGAAATTTTTCATGAAAAAAGGAGGGATACCCACTCAAAAAAAAAAATCTGACTCAGAAATTCTGACCAGAAAATTGTCCAAATGATGAAAATTTATATGAATGACTCTTTTTTACTAACTTATGAGGCGTCATAGATCCGCTACTGTACAGAGAAAAATGAAAAATGAACGTAGTGAATATACATGTATGCTATAGTGTAATGGAATTGATCACATTTTCAGCAGTGCAATGCTTTTATTTATTTATTGAATAAAAGTGATATTTTGTCAAAGTGTGACATGCAGAATATCGAATTGATATTTTGTCCCAATGTGACAGAATATCAGAACTCTTAATTTTCCTCCCCATATCACAAAGAGTTGTAAGAAATACTCCCTGATCTGTAATAAGATAGAGAGAATAAATAAACCGTCCTGACAGAGACTAAAGTTTTCCATGTATAAAATTATGTTGTTCACAATCGCTAAGCTATGACGTTTCGTGCAACCGCTCAACTACGACGTCACAGCTTGTGAAACTGTGAATCAAAAGGAAAATCTTTTCACTCGTGCTTCACACTCGTGAGAATCCCAAAAAAATCCTGTTGTATAACTTCCATAGCCAACTACAAAATATTGAATATTCTTTCTATATTTAAAACTTTGAACTTGTTTCCGGAACTGCAAACTGTATCGTTTTGGTTTTAATTTTATGGTACAAGTGGCTTTTCCGGAGAAATTTTTCAGAAAGAAATATTGAAGATAAACATGTCGGAAAAGGTGAGATTTCTTGTTTAGGAATAGAATTAAAAACATTCAAGATCAATCGTTTATTTATTCGTGTACAAGGAATACACTTTTTTCAATATCGATAATAACTCTGACTCAATATCATTGATGACGCTTTACCATGTAAACGTTTGTTCTGTGTCATTTGATCAGATGTTGTTTGTCTTTCTTCAATAATTTTTCTGTTTAATACAATCATAACTAAATTTATTAAATTATTTTTTTTACAATTACCTTACTTGGTGCTTTGACAAGTAAATAAGGGCGTCAGGCATTTTGTATGGGGTTATACTGCGAGATTTTTAGTAGTTGTGAATAATATTTTTAATTGTAGAAGTTCAGTAAAAAAATCAATCTAAAATTAGCAAATTCTGATAAATGTACGTGACGTTAAACATGAACGGGTGGTTTTCTTTTTGCTTACAGAAAGAGGATGAACCTGGACCATCAACAAGCAAGAGTAAATTCAGTCGTCTCCAGCGGTTTAGGGACTTGGAATTAAAGATGGTAAGTTCTTTGATTTTAGTCAATTGTTTCAAGGGTGATATAGGTATACAGGGCTTTCAAAATCTTCCAGTATCTGTTACTTTTACCCAGATGAAATCAGAATTGTACCAGCTATAAATATTCAGTGGAGAAAAAATTTGATAACATTTAATTAAATTGCTTCTGCCAGGTACCTCCTATTTTTGTACAAGACCACCTGTTTCAAAATTTTTTTGAAAACCCTGGATCCCTGGGTATAGTATATTTATCTTGCAAGTAGTAAAGCTGTTCACTACTGTAAACGTGGAAATTTTGACGACGTGCTAATTTTGACTATAATGACGATTTTTCTTTTCTCGTCAAAATTTCCACTCGTCAAACTTCATATCATATATATAGCGTCACAACAAACATTGACCGTTGTACAACTTTACCTCATAATTTTCTCGGCTTCCCCCATTAAAACGAGATCAAAGTTACTGTTTAATTTTTAGTAAATAGTTATGAAAGCATATAATCACAGTTTTAAAAACCATTGACTATATCATGTACTATTATTACCCATGGTCACAAAATTCTAATTTGTGTAATTATCACCACGCCGCGTTTAACCTACTTTGTCACCTCAGGCAATCGGCCTCGTATGATGAAAACAAAATACAAAAGAGCAGTTAATTCAATCAAATCTTATACACTGTAGATGGTTTTTACAAGCAAAATTAATTTTTATTGATGAGAACGCTTCTAAATGAGTTCCCGAGGAAGTCGCAGTCCTTTCTTATACTATCGTGAACTCGCACAGAGCGGCTTAATCAGAGATGTTATCAAGTCAACTAAGCCAATGTTTCCATCAAGTTTTTGGTCCTCTAGCTTCTGGCGAACTTACTCTGAGTACTAGTTTTGAAACTCGTTTTTTTTTAGAAGTTCTTTGTATTTATTTTTGTTTTAATCTCGTGAAACCAAAGATATACATAACTCTTGATTCAATATTTCGTCAAAATTAACACTCGTCAATTTCCGTAAACAAAAAATCGTCAATTTTTCAACTCGTCAAAATAACCACGTTTACAGTATATACAGTTTTACCATTAATTATTTTACATAGCATTCTAGCATTGTAAATCTTGTAGGGGTAAAAAAAATAACTGAAGTTCTTTTGCATACAAGAAGTGAACTGAAAATGATAAATGACATTGCTAGAACCATACATTTCTTTAATCATAGAAAGTGTTAATCACATTTCAGATTTCCAATCTTTGAAATACATGTACTGATTACTGTAAAAATAATAATCTAGGTTAATTTTTTCCTCTTAATTTTGGGCAACTTTTTCGGAAGTTTTACATTTGGACAAGTCAAAGTGTGAATTGACTTGCCTGGCCTTGCAAGTTGATCCAAAACTAAAGTTAATATCTATCCATGTCCTTGTAGTTATAAAAAGATGATCAGAGTATCTGAGTATGTAATGTTTGCAAAAATTATGCAAACATAGTATATGTTTAAATAGACTGATACAAATTTGATTTAGGAAATGCTCCAATTTACTGATACATCAAACTATGTGCTACATATCTCAATAAACCAACACAATGCAAACATTTTATGCTTTGAAATAATAACCATAGGCATTCCTTAATACAACTATATCATTAACAATTTCTTTTTATATGCGATTTTATAAATAATCTTTACAAATGTAGCTTTATATTTGAAGGGACAGATGGCCTACTTTCCTTAAATGTATTATACTGACAGCAATTGTATCAAGTCATGAAAATTATATTAACTGTTGACTTAAAATAAATGAAAGTGAAGATAAAAATTAACTTTGAAAGGAAAACAGACATGTCCATGATAATTTACTTTTCATTATGGATTTCAGAATGAAGCGAGGAAGTTAAATCACCAGGAAGTGGTGGAGGAAGACAAGAGGAACAAACTGCCGGCCAACTTTGAACAGAAACGAAAAAGAGTGGAGTGGGAGGAGGAACAAGAGAAAAAGAGAAAGGTAAAAAAAAAGCAATACGGATCAACTTCGGTATCTCGAACACGGATATCTGGAATACCATGGAAGTCATTTTGAAGTCCCAACTACTTATCCCTTAAGTATTTTACACTGGAAATCTTGAATGCTTGATATCTCGAAATATTTTCTTGGTCCCTTTGGGTTCAAGATAACAAGAGTTGACTGTACTTAAATGTAAAAATAAGTTACTTTACATATGATTTTAAAAAGATCAAGATATATGTATATACTAAACTTTTGATACACAACGAAAGCATATATCACTAGATATTTTGTTGTTTATCGAAAGATCAGTATGTACCTTGCTCTTTTTTAAATGCCCCAGTCATGAAATAATCACTTAATAAAGTGTTACCCTTTCCATTCATCATTCTGTCACTCCACCACAGTTTTCTGGACTTCTTGCTGTGCTTGCAGATAATGAGCTGATTTTTGGTATGTTTATATGAATAACTCAAAGTCAAGCTCTGATGTCACTTTGATTGGTTTATTTTCTTGAAAGTTATTGCCTTTAAGACTTTAAAAAATTCTGATTGTTGATGTTTTCCAGACTGTTATGCTGTTCTTGCAGATAATGAGCTCATTAAAGTCAATATATCGATGATTTACAGATCAAGTTCTAGTTCCATATCATTTGGCCTATTTTCATGGGAAAGTTAATGCCCTCACATTTTGAAAAATTCTAATTTTCACTTTTTTGTTGTTTTTTTGTTGTTTTTTTTTTTTGCTGTGCTTGTAGATTCATGAATTGATTTTTTTTATATTTATATTTCTTTATAATAGTTGATAACTTACAGAACAAGAGTCGGTGATTATGTAAATTCATCGAATATTCATATCAGGTTAAAAATTAAACCTATCATACTCATGCAATGAACATCTTGAGGTGGTCTTCATTTGCTTGGGATATAAGTAAATCAGAAATACATGTTAGCAATGTTGTACATGTGTGTATAGGTATATATTTTTTGACAGGAAGCTGAAGAGGCGGGCGAGGAATATGACAGGGTGAAGTTACTGGAGGTCGGAGCTGATGAAGCAGAGAGGTGGGAACGAAAGAAGAAAAAGAAAAATCCTGATCAGGGATTCTCAGGTATTCTTTCTCTCTCATCTAAGGAAATTAGATTTTTGTTTACCAATTATAAGTATATCAGATAAAGTTTTATTTAGAACTTTGTATTGACAACAGTATTTTTTTCTGGGTTACCTTTAAGTTTAGTAATATGGATTTTTTTTTTATTGAGGGGAGTGGGGATATGTCATATTTTGCATTTCAGTAAAATGTTTTGTAATTTTACCAAGTGTTATATCATATTTTATGTTATTTCAGACTATGAATCTGCCACATTTCGTCAATATCAGAGATTAACAAAGGAAATGAAACCAGACATGAATCAATACAAGGAGCAGAGAGAAAAAGCGTAAGTTATCAAAACAAAAGGCGTAAATTATCAAATCAAAAAGTGTAAGTTATCAAATCAAAAAGCGTAAGTTATCAAAACAAAAAGTGTAAGTTATCAAAACAAAAGGCGTAAATTATCAAATCAAAAAGTGTAAGTTATCAAATCAAAAAGCGTAAGTTATCAAAACAAAAAGCGTAAGTTATCAAAACAAAAGGCATAAGTTATCAAAACAAAAAGCGTAAGTTATCAAAACAAAAGGCGTAAGTTATCAAAACAAAAAGTGTAAGTTATCAAAACAAAAAGCGTAAGTTATCAAAACAAAAGGCGTAAGTTATCAAAACAAAAAGCGTAAGTTATCAAAACAAAAAGCGTAAGTTATCAAAACAAAAGGCGTAAGTTATCAAAACAAAAAGTGTAAGTTATCAAAACAAAAAGCGTAAGTTATCAAAACAAAAAGCGTAAGTTATCAAAACAAAAGGCATAAGTTATCAAAACAAAAAGCGTAAGTTATCAAAACAAAAGGCGTAAGTTATCAAAACGAAAAGTGTAAGTTTTCAAAACAAAAAGCGTAAGTTATCAAAACAAAAGGCGTAAGTTATCAAAACAAAAGGCGTAAGTTATCAAATCAAAAAGTGTAAGTTATCAAAACAAAAGGCATAAGTTATCAAAACAAAACGCATAAATTATCAAAACAAAAGGCATAAGTTATCAAAACAAAACGCATAAATTACCAAGACATGAACTGGGTTCAGCTTGATACATGTGACAGAAGATCATGATTCTTTGCTGAATATAGTTAATTTGAATATTAGCAAGTGCTGTTTATTGTACAAGATAATGTTAGTGATTAGGAGAATCATGTCGTTATAACAAAATTAAATGTATAATAACCTCAGTGACATTTTGTATATGCTTCATTTCAGTGATTTTATCCTCATTGTGATAAATAAGGAAAAGCCTTGTTAATTAAAGACACTTGATTCAGGATAAAGAAATCTCCAAAGAATTTACATTTTGTAAATAAATATTTCTCATTTAAAAAAAGAATTCATTGTAACACTAAATATTGTTTTGAAAATCAATGAAAAACATAAAATGGACTGTTTTTAGTTGATAGTTAAATTCAAAATGCTAAATGTCAGTCAACAAATCAAATTTATAAATTTTATGACTCATTTTTACAGAGGTGAAGATTTTTATGCCACACGTAATACACTGGGACTAAATCAATGGAAGGACAAACCTGAGAATGTTGATAGAATGGTAGAGGATCTAGAAAAACAGTAAGTTACCAAATATTTCAATCTCTCAGAGTTTGTAAGACATTATACACTGAGGGAAAGTCACATACCACCTATCATTGAAACAATGCAATATTTGGGTAAAAATATGTGTTTTGTAATTCTGAAAATGTAAATGACAGTTGTATGTTAGTACCTAGTGTCAGAACACCTGATTTTATTCAGATTGGTACAACAAATGGAATACATGTATGTCATTTCCCATAAGGTCAACTATTATTAGAGAGTAAATATATTTCAGGATAAAAAAGAGAGAAAAATACAGTCGTCGCAGAACATTTGATGAAGATGCTGACATTGACTATATTAATGAACGTAATATGAAATTCAACAAGAAATTGGAACGTTTCTATGGAACATACACAGCAGAAATTAAACAGAACTTAGAGAGAGGAACAGCTGTGTAGCCAAATATCAAATTTTATATATAAAGATGATGATGAGTTTCTTCCCTTGCTGGGTTTCAATGGTTATCATGATTCGGTATATTTTGTATTTATATGTATTTTAGCTGATTCTCTCTGACTTTATGTTAGGCTGGTATCTTACAATTAGAAAATCACTGTTCTTTTCATACTGAGTTAACCCATTATGTCATATTTTTTCTGAGGAAAGGTCATTGCCATAATGCATTGTATTTCTTCCCCCCCCCCTTTTTTTTTGCGTGTAAATAATGTTTTTCATCCATGATTTTCTGACATTAAAAAAAAAATCAGATTTATTTCTTTTTTTAAATTTCAATGTATCAAGTTTCATTCTAAGAGGAACATATATAAAATGCATCTATGTAAAAGGGTCTTTTTTTTTAAGATCACATTCTATCTGTCTAATTTTTTCAAGTAATTAGAAGTACAGTGCATTAACTGATTTTCATATTTCGGTAAATGACGGTTAGATGAATGACTTGCTGCATATTAAAAGAACATTTTCATAGGATTTGCTCTTTCACATATGGACTTTGTTTTAAACAAGTTCTGATTTTTAAATACATTTGATAAAATTAAATGAAATAGGATGAAAGATAATAATTAAATCACTTGTTAAGAAATACCATAATATAGCTAGATCTATATTTCACATCAGGAAAACTGAAGAAATTCCTTATCCTTGATACAGACATCCTACAAAATTTAAATGGGGTAAAAGTTAACAAGAGTTACTTATAGAAAGCTTAATAGAGGTATCTTTAAGAAGTTCTGTTATAAAAATAAGGACATTACTTGTAACACCACAGGAGTTGGCATACCTATCAATTTTACCGAAATTTTCAGTAAACCTAAAAAAAAAAAATACAAAATACTATAATAATAACACGTTATTATTATTATAGTATAACACTTTTTTTATTTACTGAAAATTTCGGGAAAATTGATAGGTATGCCAACTCCTGTGGTAACACAGACTTTTTAAATCCAAATTTTGTATTATACTGTATTGCATCTCAAATCCTAGCTTTCCTTTTCATTTCATTCCATTCAACCATTTTCAAACGTAATTACCCTGTATATAAGTTATATTTTTAAATGATAACAAAGCTCTCTTATTTTTCATTATTATTATTATCAAAAATTACCTGTGTCATGTTTTATACAAATGTGTATGGTACAACTTTTAAAATAATTTTTTTTTTATGTAGTCTTGTGCCTGATAAAACAATTTAGTGTAATACACTTCATGATTTAAGATATATATATATATATATATTACTTGCATTGTATTTTGTATCATGATTGTTTAAAACAATGATTTCAGACTGTTCAATAAAAAATGAAAGTTATATATTTTGTTTTAAAAATACAATACGTAATCTCTATAAATGGAATAACTTTTATTCTACGCTGCAATTACTTTGTTAAAAATCATTCTGACTCTACACAAGTACTCTGAAGTTGATAAATAACAGATGCTGAAGTGCCTACATTGACAATATCTATGTAGTTTTTGAGACCATGTTTTCCAACAATCTTTTGGAATTCTGATGAGTACTAATTGTGACCCTTTATTAACCGACATGTTTTTAAATATTTATGAAGCAGAATTTATTCAAAGACTTCCACATGACAAGAAAAAAGCCCTTTGTCGTGGCTTTCAATTCAACATTTCAATATATTGACGTCTTTGTATCAATTAATGGCCACTAACAACTAAACTATATCACAAATGGAATGACTCCCATCTTTTCCATCGTCAACGTTTCCTAATTATAGTAATCACCTGCATATGTTCTTCATATCTCCCATGTAATGCTACACCCAAGAAGCATGTTTTGAGAATGATCTTTTTTTTAACAGGATATTGACAAATAAGTTGATGATACAGGGGTTTCAATTCTATGTATCTCGTTTAAAGTCAGTATTTTACTATTTCTATGGTGATTATAATAACCTTTGGCAAATACTTTCATCGTTGGGTCGTATTTTAATTGATATATTTCCCACCAATTATTATGCCATTGTTATTTTCCATTTGAATACTAATTACTCCGTTTTTCTGATCAATCAGGAGACTCTCAGCTGGTCTGACCGGTTGGTACAGGATTCTAACTCCTCCTAAGCACCCGATCCCGCCTCTGGGGTTTCCAGGATCCATGGTTTTGCCCTGTTTACTATTCATATATTTTACTGAACCTTCATTTTCTAAGTTATATCACACAAAGGAATGTCCTTTTTATAAATTTTGTTTTTAAATTCTTGTGTGACAAGAAAATATTGAGAACATTCCAAGAAATATTTTTGTAGTGTGTCGAGATCATTTTACTAGGATCAAAACTCTTATTGGTGAAACGGACTCAGTACAGAAAAGTAAGCATCAACTTGCTCCCCGAAATAATTTTATTTCAATTATATGGGAGTACATGTGCTTTGAAAATAACTTCATATTCAAATGTTTAAACGCCACATGATACGGAAGATGCAAGTATAATTTTGATTTAGCCTGTCAGTTCATTACGCTTAAATTTGCCAACAACAATAAAGATGTTGTAAGCAACATTAACATTTTTAATCATTAAAAGGTTCATTTTTGAATTCTATCATATTTTAGGTTGAATTTCATCTAGAGCCTTTCCCAAGTGTTACATCCAAACTTTACAATTATAGATAAACCTAGAGTGCCTAGCCTATGATCATCTAGAATAATCCTTAGTGATTGACTGTGTGTTGTTTTACGTCCCGTTCGAGAATTTTTCACTCATATAGAAACGTCACCATATACCGGTGAAGGGCTTCAAATTTAGACCTTTACTCGGCACTTAGGGCCATTGAGCAGTGAGGTATCTTTATCGTGCCAACGACTACCGTGACACGGGGCCTCTGATTTTAAGGTCTCATCCGAAGGACCCGCAACATTCACTTCAAAGTGCCGAGCGCTTGGCGAAGGAACATTTGCTATTTTTTTTTTATCGATTTAAGTCAGTGGCGGCCGTGATTCGAACACAGGGCCTTCCGATCACGAAGCGAGCGCTCCACCGACTGAGCTACCGTGACGGCTCCTTCTGTAAATTTATCATTCAAATTTTATGGAATGTTGTCATAATGAAGTCTTTTTATTACGTCATATAATATGAAATCCGTTTGACATTTCCATAAAAATCAGTTATTTGTCAGTGTGGATTATACATAGAGGATATTCAATGTTTTGTAGATGAATATGGAATTTATTTCACGAGTGGGACCGGATTTTTTGATATTTTCACGAGTGCGAAGCACGAGTGAAAATATAAAAAAAATCCTGTCTCACGAGTGAAATAAATTCCATATTCATCTATAAAACATTGAATTTTCTGTTTGTTACATTTTCTTAGATTTTCCCTATAACTATAAGTCTCTGTCAGGATGGCTCATTAATTAACTGTATCTTATATAAGGCCGGGGATTTTTAAAAAAAAACACTGTCGCACTTCTGATATTCTCAAACTATTAGAATACCATTTTGATATCCTTTCACACTGTGTCAGAATATCACTTTTATTCAGTACATAAATTACAGTATTTCACTGTTGAAAATGTAATAAAACTTAGTACATGTATTTGTCATTTGTTTTGAACAGAAATCATTGCTTTTCACACACTTAAATTTTATCAACTGATCCAAAACAAAAAAAAGTCGGAAAGAATGCCATTGTTGTATTTAAAAGTAATTCTAAACGCTGGAAATGCCTGTGACGCTTACACTGGTTTTACAGCGCCTAATGATGGTATCTACTCATTCACGTGGACAGCTCTTACAAAACTGAGGAAATATTTTCACACATAATTTGTTCTCAATGGTAAAATAACTCCATGATTATAATAATATGCATGGCGCCTCAAACCAGGGTTCCTGATCTTCCTCAGCTATAATGGATATGAGGAAAAACGATCAAGTCTGGATTAGAACACATAGTGAAGGGAAATTCCCTTTCTCGAGCTGGTCATCATTTCCGGATTTAAATTGTTAAAAACAAAGTTAAATGACCAAAGTACAGTGTACGTATATGTATGTATCTTATGATTTACAATGAATAAACGGAAAATAGTTGAAATAGGATATATTACAATATAAATTCTGAGGGTGTTACAGATATGTAAACAGACGCTAAATTCTGTGAAATAGAATATGTCAGATAAATATTCACAAATATTTTGAATGTTCCTGTTATGCTAGAAATGTAAGAAAGTATAATAAATTCATGGCCGTAGGAACCGGGGGGGCACGGGGGGGGGGCGTGCCCCCCCTCCCAATAATTTTGCCGATATATAGATTACTATAGTAAACATAGATACTATATGCTTGGGCCCCCTCAATAAAAACGTCTGATGACCTTTTTTTTTTTTTTTTTTTTTTGAGGAGGTTTTTTTTTGCTTGTCAGTGAATTTTTGGCAGTGCCCCCTCAACTGTCAACTGAAAAATGTATGGTTGTGCCCCCCCCCCCCCCCAAACTGAAATTGCTTCCTACGGGCCTGAAATTACAGAATATAAACAATCATTATAAAGTACTTAGTACTTGTTAAATTGACACACGCATGAATACATAATACAAAATGTATATGTTTGAAACAACTCATTATCGTTTATCCTTTTTCCCCTTTCTTATTTACATATCCCGAACATATCTTAAATTTTGAGGTTTGGAAAGTAAATGAAGGTTGATTGAAAATTGCGTTTTCTGTGTTCTCTTTGAATTAAGTGGAGATAATTCTGCAAAATTTTAAAACTGAATTGTAAATCAAAAATGTCTATGTAAGTGTAAAAGATTACCCTGTGCTTGCTTTTTTTTTTTTATCTTAGTGCCTTCTTTTGTAAGAGCGATGTATGGAGTATTCAATCAAAATATAAAGAAGGTAACAAATAGCATACTTCAATTAACCCATGTTGATAAAAATCTTTTTTAGGATACAACATTTTACATTTTTTTTCCAAAACAAAATCACATCTTCTGCAAACTTGTATGAATAAATATCTAGATTTCTGCATTTTACACAAAGAAAATGGGCAAACAAGGCGAGCAAAATGCCTATGGTGCTACGAATAAGAAAGTGAAACATTAAATATCAATTATTACAAAATTTTGTTTGATATTTCCTCTTACATTAACGAATACGTTATGTAAAATCTCCACAACTTGCAACAATCTCACAAATATTGAAATTATTCGTCAATGAAATAGCATACACACTAAAGAGGGCAAAAAATTATCATACAGCTGTATCTTCAGACTAGAAACACATTTTTTCCATATGAGTGGTCTTTGCTTCATTTTTTTTTGGAAAGTTTATCCTCAAGGTGTGAGTAAAAATATATCTTTTTCGCTTAACAAAAACATGGTATAACGCCCCACTATACCTTAAAAAAACACTTTTATGACGCAATATTCATATCTTTCCGAGAAATGTTTGAAGTCCATTTAGTTAATGGTCATATCACAAACTTGATTTAAATGCCGACATTGTCATGTGTTGTGTAGCGTAGTGGTTAGCGTCTTAGGCTCAGAGAAAGAAAATGATAAACGGGATTTTTTACTGCTTGGTTTCAAACCCCAACTATACCATATTTTTTCAAATCATTGAATGATATTTGCCAAAGGAATTTTCCGCAGAAAAAATTGTCACAATTAATGCCTTTCAATTCATAAGAAATTTACTTTTAATACTTAATTCAAAATTAAATATGATTTGTATAATTTGAAGTTACAGGCATTTTGCAAGCCTTAATTTCCAATCTCCTTTTTCCTTCTTCAACCTTCTAGCTCCATCGCCTAAGAAATGTATGAAGATTACACATAACAAAAGATATTGATTTGTTTTAAAGTTAGGAAAGACTGAAAAAAAATTA